GCACATGTGCCCAGCGTGAGTTTTAAGCCACCGGGTCCGGAATGCGAACCGTGGTCGACTACGTGGGAGTCCAGCGACATAGCCATTACTCTAACTGCTGGTTCCCTTATTTTTATTTTTTAAAAGAATTATTTTATTTAATTTTAGTCACTGTCATTATTTTATTTTATTTTTTTGAAGTTGACCAGAGACAGACAGAAAGAAAGAAAGTGAGAAAGCAAGCTACCTGGTCCAGGACTTGAACAGTAGTCCTCCATGTGGTAATCCAGACACTTTAACCATCACGCCACCTGCCAGCCCTGAGAAGTGCTTTTTGTTTCCCTTCCTCTCTCTCTCTGGTGAGTGACATGCCCTCTGGTAATTAAAAAAAAAAAAAAATCAAAAGAAAATAGAGGTTTTAAGAAAAATAGTAAAAACAAAGACAAAACAAAACAGAGAGCCATCAGGTGGCATGGGAGCTAAGGCGCTAGATTCTCACATTGTCCACCACAGTTCAAATCCTGGACCAGGTGCCTTGGGAATCACACCAAGGATGTATGTGTATATGTGTCCAAAATCCCAAGATGGGAATGGAGGAGAAGGGATTGTGGCGAGGCCATCTTCTCGGGGGGGGGCAGGCAGAGTGATTCCTCACTTTCTGTTTCTCTCTGGTAAGCGCATGTACTACTCTATGGCAAAAACTTAAAACAACACACACACACATAAAAAGATGGAAAATAGAGATTTATTCACAAAACTCGATTCTGGTGGTTGGATAGTCCAAAGTCACCACAAAATAGCAGAAAGCAAAACACTTTTTTAAATACATAGTTGTGAATTATTTTATCATTACCATTTTTTAAAATTTGCTACAGAGCACGCACGCTCACTGGAGAGACGAGAGATAGAGAGGGAGAAAGTGGGAAAGCAAGTCACCAGGTCCAGGACTAGAACCACCGTCCTCTCTCTGGGAGGAGCCCAGCATCTCAACAGCCACACCACTTGCTGGTCCCAGAAAGTAGAACTTATAGCCCTGCGGGGAGCGTCTATATGGATGTGGCTTCTACTGCCTTGTTGCTTCTCCTTGTATGCCCACCAGAGCTCAGACATGGGGTCCTGTCCTACTGACGTTATCACACCCAAAAATCCCACCCTGGGACCCCATGAAAAATTAAGTATTTCACTTAACACCCTTAACAATACAATCAAGTTCCAATACGCTGGGGAACCAGCAGTTAGCGTAATGGCTATGCCGCTGGACTCCCACATAGTTGACCGTGGTTCGCGTCCCGGACCCGGTGGCTTAAAACTCACGCTGGGCGTGTGAAAAAAAAGTTCCAATACGCTGAATTTTCAGGGGACATCCAACTTCAATAGCATGAACCTATAGGGGACAAACTATTATCCAAACCATAACATGAGTGTGTGTGTGAGAGATGTTTCTAAATAAAATCCAGCCCTTAGCTATCTTATGTGAGGAAAATGAGTGGACTCTGGTTGGTTGTGGTACCAGTTGGCAGTGTTTTGCACACAAACAGGCAAGAATCGAAACTTTTACTTGGCAGGTGCAGAACTCCTTTCCAACCTGGACCCAGCTGCAGGGCTCTATCTCGAATGCGATCCGGTAGTGGTTGTTCAGCACCAGGGGTCCTAAGCCTTTCACACATAATTTCACCCAAGTCTGCTTGCAGTCCTGTTGTCAGAACTCCCATTGGTGCAGAACTCTTTTCCACCCTGCACCCAGCTACAGGGCTCTATCTCGAATGCGATCCGGTAGTGGTTGTTCAGCACCAGGGGTCCTAAGCCTTTCACACATAATTTCACCCAAGTCTGCTTGCAGTCCTGTTGTCAGAACTCCCATTTGGCACAGGAGGAAACTGATTACAGCTATGTTAAGGGATTTCGTGCACTAGCAGCTCGATCTAGCGGGAAGCAGATAAGAGATTTCAACTCTCTACTCAGATCAGTCTACACAACCAGTTGAATCTGAGACGGCACTTAAGGAGACCCGAGGTACTCGAGGTACTCGCGTAAGGCGAACTGCAAACACCAAGGACACAGGCGGTTGCTCACACTTGCCTTTGGGTTTCTATTAAAGTGTCAGCAACTGACACCCCGAGTTAAATGGGGGTGTCCTGGAAGTTTAGCTTCGTGTGCAACCTCCAGCTCCGAGCCGCTCCTGGGTCCCCATGGGTCTCCCCACCTCTCGCCCACCTAGGTGCTGGCTGGGTCTCGGCTCCCATAAGGCCCGAAGACGTGTCTGGCGGCCCCGGCCCCGCCTCCTCCCCCGCGAGGCCCAATGGGGCGGCGGGCCCTGCAGCTCCGCCCGGGTTGGTTTCGGCGGCTGG